CCCCCCCCCCCCCCCCCCCCCCCCCCCATCTGTTGTGCCTTATTATGCCTAACATAACCTTTTCTTTTTTCCTGCAAACCTGCAATTAAAATATCCAACATCTTACATTGTTTACTTGTATAGATGTATCTAAATATCCATCCACTGTATATGCTTCTATTTTTTTCTGCATTAAATATATTGTTCAATTTGATTCGAGACAAATCGATGCAGGCTTCATGGTCTACACGTCCCGCCTAACCCTGCCCTCTTGAAAGTTGAAGTGGAGGGGAGAAGTGGTAACGGGCTGCCTGGTGACAACTTCCTGGAGACAGTACGGGAGGCAGACGGGAGGGCAGGCTAGCCTACGCAGGTGGCCCGGATCTGGATCAGGTCAGCCGCGCCCCTGGACCACCAGCCAGCTAATCTCATGCCCATGCACCAAGTCCCTTCAAATCACTAACCTGCAGCTCTTTATGAATAAAAAAGTATACGGGTAAAATTGAATTAACAACGTGCCAACTTTGATTTCACAAATGTTGCTAATACTGTATTAACTGTACTGTACTAATCGAGACAATAACGCTTTGAATCACACAACCTTTAAGCACAAGCGGAGAGGTGAAATGATTAATAAGTCTTTAATTTGATTTGAAGATGGGTTATGATTGTAAAGGAGGCCTTATATTGTAAAAGTTTTAATTAATTAAACTGTACTGTGCTTCAATTCACTCTGTAAATGCACCTTTTGTAATGCTTTAGAAAGATATGTTAAGTGTTTAAAATTTGTAACAAATTCTCTCTTTAAATAATGTGCAGGTCCCATCTCAGGTGATTCAACTGAAATGATCAGATAAGTCTGTGCCTTTCTATTGTGGATGCAAAGCTACACATTCACTAAGAAAATACAATAAAATCTAAATATGAAGTCACTCTGGCTGAACTGCAAATCGAACGTTAATAGAATAATACTGTTCAGACAGACAGCTCCGAGCATTATTGTCTAAAGTTGGGTAAAGGGTAATTAATTTGGCAGTAAATCATTCAGTGTTTGGGTGACTCTGATGAGAATTGTGATCTTTTTTTTCCGCTCAGACATCCCCCAAGCCAACCCCCAGTCCCCATTGTCTGTATGAAAATGGAAATCTGTGCCACCAGTACAATATCCACATTATGTGCCCTGCCTCGACATTGTTGCATGACATGCTTGATTGTACCCTGGCATACAGGAACAGAAACGTGTAAACATACCATTAGCATATTTTAAGGTTTGTCCTCCACTATACTTATCAATGTGTAATGTATGAGTTTATAAGTTTTTTAATGATTTCTTCCATTCTTGAATCAAATACATCTTAGACATTTGTAGAAAAGTCTTGTTCTTATGCCGGAAACAAGAAGAAAGGCATTCATTTTCAAATTAGTTTGCCTTCATATATGTGCTTTGGACAAACGAAAGCTGTCTATTTCAAAATAACATGAAATACATTTTATAAGAATATATTTTATTATCTGTTTTACTGTCAAAGAGAAGCACAAAACAATCACAAGGAAGTTCTGTCACACCGTTTTAACTCAACTATTCTAGGCATTGTTTGAGCCTCCCTGAAAGGTCATTTGTATTATTTACATTGCTTGAGGCTATAGGTGCAATATGTGCCCTGTTGTTATTGAAGGTATATGATAAATATTAATTTGACTTATGTGTCTGTTTATATGTTATACAATGATTGTACAGCTGAATGCCTGGGCGTCTCTCAGAATGTTAGTTTCAGGTAATACAGTTTGACGAGTTGTGACCAAGACAAACCGCCCGAAAGAATACTTTCACCGTTATCATTGAGTGGTTCTATCTTTTAAGTGAGGCTAAATTCACCGGAGAATTGTTTGTCCTAAATTCATCTTCGAGAATTAAAATCAGAAATGTTCTCTTTTGCAATGTGTTGCTATGCACTCATTTACAATTGGATTGGATAAGTGCATCACTGGCGGAGGATGCTGCGGTACAGTCAGTCAGTAAATGCATGCATGTCTCCCTCTCTCTCTCACTCACTCACACAAACGCATGGACTGCTCAACCACTGCATGCGCAAAGATGTGGAGTCCTTGCTAAAAAAAAAGACATTGAGAAATCATGGAAAATCACCAAACATTAACGACTGTTGCAATCTTATTTGTTGTTCCCTGAAAAACCACAAAAACGTCAGATAATGCCAGCTGATTAAATTCATGCTCAAGAATGTGTGTTGGTGAACTCCACTCACAACCTCTGTGTTTTAAGGTTAAGGTGCGTTACAGATTAAAAGGGGCTGTTTTGAAAATTTCAGTCAGTCTCTCATCCCCAAGAGATGCTAGGAACTATTGTGGATCTGATAGTCGCAGTAAATCTCTTTAGTTTTGCTTCTACTGGAAGGAGTCCAGAGTGAACAGTGGTTGAGGTCCTGCTGTCACTAATGACTCAATGCTGCCACCTTGTGTTTGGGAAACATTTTACTTTAAAAAGAAGAAGAAGAAAAAAAAAAAGAACCCTGTTTCAGCTTTAGTAGGTTTGTCAGAATTAGTTAATATTTACCACTGAACTCTGCATTGGTGGAGATGAAAAACATGAATATACAGGAAGCAGGGTGGCTTTTGGATCATTCATTATTGATTGGGGCTAAATGTGACAGTGCGGTTAAGAATTGGCTTTGTATGTAAAAGTGTGAGCAAACGTTCCCTGAAGCTTGGCTCTGTATAGGATTATAATACAAGTGTGAACATAATATTACAGTATATCGATGCTTCTGAGTATGTGTTATGTGGTTTGCAGGTTTCTCTCAGTGTAAGAGAAAACCGAGATGCTCTCCTTTGCTGCAGATTTAACGCGCTCTCCTCTGATACCTCAGCCCCACCTGTCTAGCCATGAGCTCAGAGTTGAAACAGAGTTCAGCCAAGTCGAGGATTGTTCTTGCTTGTTTTATCAGCGGCGTGTACCATATTTCCCCCCAATGAAATACTACAGCCGGCGAGAGAGACTGCCAATGGAGAAGGGAAACAATTGAACGGGCATTAATGATTCACAGGTACATATCTGCTATAATACCAACACAGGCGGTAGGTAACCGAGAGCAGGATCTGATGACATCATTGATGCTGCCTCAGATAACACCTCGTTCATCAACTATGGATGGATCTGGCAAAAGATATAAGATAATGTCCAAGTGAGAGTAGAATGTTTACTGACCGGTGTTCAGACAGTGAGTCGGGAAGGTGGGTCACAGAAAGTTTCACATCAAACATGTTAGCTGTAAAAGCCTAGGTTTAATATTTGATGACAGCTGGAACGCATGAAATAGATTGTAATGTTTTACAAAAGGGTTTTATAACCTTGAACAGCTGTTGGACTCCACACATTAGAGCCATTAGTAGCGTATGTGGTTCTGATGCAGCTTTCATTGAGCAGCAGTCAAATTTATTGTGGAATCACATATTAATGCAGAGGTCCCTTCTTGTTTGTTTGAGCCTGTTGTATTTCACGGTGTTTGTTTCATTAAAACATAAGGAACAGGTTAAAAGTTGACTGACATATTTTTGTTGCCTTCAAACTAGGGCTGAGCTATATATCAATATTATCAGAATTGACGAGATATTGTCTTTTTGATTTTGGATATCATAATATCATAATATGGCACAAGTGTTTTAAAGGCTGCTTTACAGTTAAGTGACGTAATTTTCTTAACTTACCAGATTGCTCCAGCTTGTTTATTATTTGCCTCTCTACCCACTTAGTTATATTATATCCACATTACTAATGATTTATCAAATATGCTTTGAGTAAATATTTTGTAAAAGCACCAATAGCCAACCCTGTAATATTGCCGCAATACCGGGAAGTATTTGGTCTAAAATATTGTGATATTTGGTTTCTCTCTATCGCCAAGCCTTGTTTAAAATGTATAGTTTCTAAACAATGTTGTGACATATGAAACACTGTTGACCAAACAGCTTTCATCATGTAGACAAGTGTTAGCTATATAATAAGCATTATTTTTAATAATGTTAGTAAGTTTGTTGAGGATAAAATTAAAAAAGGGAAAAAGGGCGATGAGAAAGAGGTTTTAAGCCAATGTCTATAGTCTTTAGAGTTTACAGATGTTTTTCCAGGTAACTTAGACCAGCAAGTATATTCAATTAATCTGTTAACTATTTTCTAAATCAATAAATTAGTTGTTTGGTGTATAAATTATGAGAAACACCCATCACTGATTCAAAGAGCCAACGGTGACGTCATTTAATTTATTGTCTTGCCCAAAACCCAAAAATATTCAATTTGAAACTATAGAAAACAGAAAATCCTCACATTGGAGGGGCAGGAAGAAGCAAAGTTGGGGCATTTTTGCTTGAAAATGACTCAAATTATTAATTAATATCAAAATATTTGTTGATCAACAACTATACAAAAAAGTCCCTTAGTATATGTTTCAGTTAATTCCTGTAGTTGTGCAGGTATTTTGCAAGACAGTGTATTGAATGAAATGGTCTGCAGGACATTTATTCTGTCAATAGATTAGTCATTATCATTAAATTAATCGACTAATTGTTTCAGCTCTAAAAAAAAAAAAAGCTTCAGTGTCTAATCTCAGCTGTACTGGTGCAGGCTTTAATGCATTCAAATCCATGTTAAACATCTAGAGAAGTGCACCACACGCAGCTACAGTCACTCGTAACACATTCTGCATTCAGCCATGCTGCACACAATCAGAGGAAATGACGTGCCAATGTTTTGAATCGTGCGGGCTAACAAGTAGCACGGATACCTCTGCACTGACCCACATCCCCCTAATACATCTGGGGAAACCACAGCGCTTCATGTCCCCATAACATCTGTCACAGTAAGTTTGACTCCATTAAAAGTCGCTCTAACGTAGAAACCGTAGATTGGTTCGGCATTAAGCGTCAGCGATCAGGGGTTAGGAGCTATCAGATACCCGCGCTAGTGCTAACAACCTCCCGCGACAGCAGAAGATGCGGCAGCGAGCAGCGAGCTTGCACAACCGAAGCTTTTCGTAACAAATACTTTTGTAACATGCCCATGTAGGGCTGTACCTGGTGAGGTAGGCTACCGCGATTGGTACACGAGGGAGAGCTGTTTGGTCGTTAAAGGTGTGTAGTAACTGCTGCACGCTATATCTGGCCTCGCAAACCCAGCACTCAGACTCTTGTTATTTCCTCTGCTGCACAGCAGGACAACGCGATGGACCTCCACAAAATCATCCACAGTGCCCTGCAGGAATTTATTCAGGCTTACATCCCTGATGCTGACCTCAGGTGAATAACCCGCCACCATGTTTGCATCCTTACATAAAAGTTCTCTCCGTTTTTAAAGGTAGCCCTCTTTTCCTTTTGTACCTCTCGATGCAGCACCCTGGACGATGTTCTCCTGTCCTACATCACCGGAGTCCTGGAGGATCTGGGCTCCCAGCAGAGTGTCGAGGAGAACTTTGACGTGGAGGTCTGTGCAGAGATGTTGGAAGCTTACATACCTGGCTTTGCCGAAATTGACAGGTAAACAGACGCACACGTTTTTTTGTTTTCATCTGTTCTGATTGTACTGTTATTTAATGTTATCACACCAACAAAAACTATTTCATTTTGCAGCGTCAAGGTCTGTGAAATGATGTTCAATCTGGCTTCAAAACTGGCCATCGCTCGGGCCTCAGGTAGTGCTTTTAAACATGTTATTATTTCTAAGGCATGCAGCAGCCTACTGTGGCAGTCTTACCTTTCCAAACGGTGCTTTCATTGTCTTGTTACTAAATGAGTTGCCAAAGCTTTATTGGGCAGTGCCACTCATTTTAGATGTAGATCATCAGCTTAACATTTATACTACAGTGTGCTGATTTGTTTCCTTTTGAACTGATGAAGAAAACGTTGAGCCCAAGGCAAGGACAGAAGACAATTCACAGAAACTCGACCCCCTGCCCAGTGAACCACCACCGGGAGAAGAAGCGCAGTGCCTTAAAACACAGACAGAGGGCGCCACCGCCAAGGTAATCATTCCAGCATACAGCAGCGCATCATCTTCCCTTTCTTGAAGCATTTGAATTACTATAATTTAACGTATCCTCATTGTGTGTCCTACTGCTGATACCCGTAGTTCAAATTCATCAAAATGTGAGCTAATATAAGTGTGTTTATGTCCAGCCACCAGTGTCTGAGCGGGAGTCCCGGGAGCAGCACCTGCTGGAGATGTTTCCCAAGTGCGGTCTGTCGCAGGCTCGCAGCGCCCTGTCGATCGCCAAAGGAGACATGGAGGAGGCCGTGCGCCTTATCATAGAGGGTGACGTCCAACTCAGCCCCACTCCTCATCACGTGAGTCTCTGCTACACAAACTAACACCGCCACTGTGCGTGTCACCTTGTCTGACTTGATGGTGTCCTGTTGCCTCAGGCAAACCACGGGAAGAGTGTTTCCCCACGAGCAGACCAAAAACTTAAAGAGAGCATCCTCGAGAAGTGAGTAAGATTGCTATTATCCTGTGTAGAGCAGAGCTGGCCTCACTTCTTAGTTTCCATGTTTATGACGGTGTTTCATCTCCACAGGTACATGCTGGTGGACAGGGAGGAGGATAAGAAAACACACCGGCCTGTCGCCCCCAAAGATGTCAGTTATACTCCCTATTCACTATCTAACCATATCAAGATACACATTTTATATGTTTAATGCAATACAACTTGCATTCTGGTGTGTTTTTTTTTTTTTTTTTTTTACAGCCTCCAAAGAAGCTAGTTCGGTACCACAGTAACCAGGTGGTAACCACAAAAGGAGAGCGGTATCAGCTGGTGAAGAAAGACGAAGCAGAGGACATGAAGAAGACGTATGTCAACGTCAAGCCTGCACGAAAGTATAGATTCCATTGATGACGTGCACAACAGTGCAAGAGCAACTACTGACAATATTGTTTACACTTCTTTTTATTTATTAAGTTAATTTGGCCTAAATTTGTTAGATTTCTTTCCAAGTAAAGGAACATATTTATTAGTGTGTGAGTGGCTTATTTTTAAATATTGTTACCATTATATGCCTTGGTTAACACATTCAATAAGTGTTTCAGTTGCTTTTGACATTGTGTGATATTTTGGTGAGGTTGTTGCGACGGCCTAACCTAATCTACTTTTTGCCATTTCAGCAGGTTTGATGTTGCACTAACATCAGGGGCTGTTTTACGTCTTGGTTTTCTTTTTTTATTTATATTTCTTTTAACTTCCAGTAGACGATATATAGATTCATAATCATGACGCGATGACGTAGAGATGAATCTGTGGTCTTTCTGTCAATAAGTTCTTGTGGTGCTGTAGAGATTCTTCTGGACATTTTACAAGTCTCGACTACTTTTTTTAACGTACATACCAATTCATTTTTACATCATACCGAGATACAGTGCTGTGAAGATGTGTGGTCAAGCCTTGTGATTTGGACAATTTGTTGTGCTATAAAATGGTTTTCAAATGGAAAACATAACTTTCAATAATGAAGGAGATGCTTTCGAGGCATATTAGCACAACCTTGAACTGTCCTCATAGCAAGTAAATATGCTGCAGTTAAATCCACAAGATCATCTCCCATCACACCCTTTAGTGCAAATAAAGGAAATGTATGTGATAATATGCAACGTCACTAAAATGTTATCCAAAAGTGAGATTTGTTTGCCTGTGGCTACAACCCGAGAGATCTTTTTGTCAAAGCAATTTTAAAACCAACCATCAATGAATTCATTGGTAATACGTTTTCCAGCACAACAAATTCACTTCTCAAGAGTACCTACCATTGCAGCACTCATTCTTTTGGCATAATAACGTGGATGACCGTGGTTGCTCCCTAAATGTTTAGCGAAAATGCTGCGGGAGGACCTGATTTTGAAGTTCACTCCAACAGCATTATCTTTATTTTTGATATAGATGTTTAGATTTGCAAAGTCTCCGATCATGTGTTTATTGTGTGCTTTCAGGGTCTGTTTGTACAAATGTGTTCCCTAAGAGGTCCTCTATCACGACTCCTTTCATTTCAGTGGTGTTGTGAATTGTGCTTCGCTGGTGATTGTTGGTTGTGGAATTTTTTTTTTATGATTGGATTCTTATTTGTTGTATATTATGATAAATGTGTTAGTCAGGTTGTTGTTGTTTTTTTTCAACAAATATATATTGTTGTTTATTTGTGTTCCCCTTTTGCATCTATTTTTAGGAACTAAAAGCAAATGTTTTTGATTGGTGGTAATCTAGTTTTTAGAGTGTAGGTGTAGCACAATCAACTGTTGAAAAGATGTTACTGATTATCAGCAGCAATGTTGTCTTTAATCACTAGATGAAGCCGTTTAGTTTGAACCATGCGCTTTGAGAAACCGCTGACGCACAATTTGTAGTAAATAAATACTAATTTTTGTAGCTCACTCACATTGTATTCTTTGATTTGTTCACTGGTGTTCCTAAAGATACTAGTTCAAAAGCACCCAATATTTGATTCAGTGACTTGATTATAAAGAAATCATCACAGAAGTCAGTACTGTAGAACTTTGCAAACAGACTTTAATCAGAGCATAAAGGAGAGCACATACTCTATGTTCAAACAGGCATCCATCGATAAAAACATGCCTCTATTCCTATGAACCCTTGTCAATCCCACCTTTAAAGCTGTTTAAGGCCAGAGTGAAAACAAACATTTTGACCATAAAAAAAATCAAGTCATTGCAACATTTAGTGCCATGCTAAGCGAGGCACACACGTGCAGTAAACAGGGTTAACAATGGAAGAGGTCTTACATCAGGTAAACTCTTTACAGAGGAAGTATCTCTGTCCCATCATGGTGCAACTTGAATAGAAATAGATATGCACGATATAAACTATTTAAAAGTTAAACCGTAACCATAAGACCTGTATATTCCCAGGTGAATTAAGTGCTTGGATATTCCTGACACTCACCGATGCATCCAATGACACATGCAAACAAACCCACCCACTGGTTTGTATGATGGTTTGGCACACATACAGCACAACATGTCAAATGATCCTCCCCTTTAGTTTAATGTACATTTTTACAACCCTTCTGAAGAGCACGGTAAACTTGCACAGAGACAGACAACTTTTAAGTCGCTCTCAGTTTTAGGTCTTCAAAATATGGCTGCATGGTAAGTGAAAGTAACTGCATTTCTGAGGATTTTTAATCAAAAGAGCGAGTACAGGCTTCCATCTGGAATTAGACATTTGTGTACACATTTCATCGCCCCTTCATCTCAGATCTGCTGCATTTAATACAGCGTATTGAATAGTTGTATTTCATGTACAACATTGTACAACTTGACCACTAGATGGTACATTGTGTTGCGATAGCTGGTACATAAGCTACGTCCCAGCAGATGGCCCTGCTACTTCAGTCCCTCGATTTAACATAAATCGATCATTGAAGCTGTTAACTTTAACCCCTTTTAAAGTTACTTCTCTTTTCATTTTCAAACAAATCAAACGAGCAAGAGCATAAATAAACACAAAGCAGCATCACTCAGTTAAAACTATTTAGCTGCAAGCGGTCACATTTTCCTTCAGCAGTATGAGCACCCGCACATACTTTTGATCATATTTAATTGCAGTTTTTAAATTGACTGTACTTCTGTGATTAATACCATGCCTAGACTTTCCTCTTTGCAACAGAAAAAACTCTTGCTGATCACTCCCTGAAACCATGTAGGTAGGCGTGGAGATGACGCAGATTACGTGGATAAATATATTAAAGACACTTAAAAGACCGGTCGTCTTTAAAGGTATGCACCACGTCAGTTTTAAAGATGTCCTTGTGATAAAGATGGAGAATACAATATGATCACTCCACACTTAGTAATCAACCCACAGCTGCGTTATTACACGTGTATAAGAAATGTTCTGTATTTAACTGACGTGTGTATAATACCCCTTACCTCATCCATTAGTGGTCAAAATGTTATAGTTATTCCAAAAGGTACCGATCTCTGACAACTTCTGCCGGGTGAGCAAATGCACCCAAATACACATTAGCTTGAATTATGTCGAGAGAACACTAATTCACATAAATACATCTGGACTAAAGCCAAATCGGGCCGTATTCTCAAAGACAAAAGATAAAAAAAAAACACTTCTTCAAGCAGGGCGGATTCCCGTGAGTTAGTCAGATGTTTCTTCTCTGATCGATGTATTTGCAATGACCCTGGCACTTTGGAGACAACTGAAGCAGAATGGTTTCAATATGGCCGCTCATTGCCGTGCAGTGACGCGTAGCTCCGACATCAGAACGTGCGTTACGCACGCAGAGCAGTCTCACTTTCACACGGCAAACCGTTTCAGAAGCAGTCAAACAAACAAGAGTTTTAAGATCGGGGCTCTAACTGAGATCCTGCTCGTATCGCCCCTTGATCATGGTTTTCAGTAAAGGTCCAACCTACAGAAACACAAAAGGACTCTTGGTTAGGATTAAGCTACTTCATAGTGTCAGACATATTGTTTCACTCATTGTCCCAGTCTGCATTTATCTGTCCTTTGTGCTAAATCAGGTACGCCATAAATATTCACAGTAATTGGGTTGCTGGGGGGGGTCAGCATGCCCCGGGGATTCCATGGAACAGGTGACCTAAATCTGATTTAATGTTCTAGAAAGCGGCAGTGACATTCACGTGTGACTAACGCAACTGATGATAGGAAAAAGTTTGTATTTGTGAAGAGGATATAAAAGTAAGTGTTTTTTTTTACCTCATGTGGGTCTCCAAGTGCTTCTCCCAGCATTTTCTCAATATTTCTCATGATGGCCACCTTCTGATGAGCTTTCAGCGGGTACTCGATCTTTCTGGGTGTGGAGGCGCCCTGATCGAATGAGTCAAAAAAAAAAAGGTTAGTGAACATGAAGAAACATGTAGGGGCAAAGACAACACAGATGTTCAAATAACGGCTGTGAAGACTCAAATGTACATACTTTGTACCAGAAGTTTACAGTGATCGTCACTCCACCGTTTAACAGTGATTCAATGTGATGCCACCTGAGGAAAGAAGAAAAATACATCAATAGCTAAACTCTTCATCAAACTCTGGCTGTAATACAGAATTTCTCTAGAAATGCCAAACAGAAGTACTTCTTACCAATACATGGGGATGTAGAGCACATCTCCTGGGCCCACAACAGCCTCATAACCAGCAATATTTTTAAAATCGGGAAACTTCTCATAATCAGGGTTATCAAAATCAACCTATAGAATGAAAAATATGGATTCATTACAAAACATTAACATACTGAACCATGTGCATCCAACTGTATTAGATGTACAAGACATTAATTGCTTCCTACTATTCTGACATTTGTTTTAAAATAAGTTAATTCAGAATAATGTGCCAGTTTTTCCAGTGTTTATGCATGTCCATAATTCAAGTAATCTTAACATTCATCTTTATAATAACTGTATTTAAAGTTACTACAAGGAACTCTCATTTTGTGTTGATTTTGGCGGTCCCTGTGGACAGAAATGGAAGAGTTTCAAAGTACCAGACGGTCTTGTTTACTTTGTACGTCACGAAGAGGCGTCAGTATTCTATTGTTTCATAACCAGTTAAAGTTCCTCACAGTCATTTTAAATGTGTAGACATAATTGTATGATGTCTGTCTCCCTTTGAGAGCGTTGATGTGAACTATCTCTACCACTATAGATGAAGATAACAGAGCTAAATCACAATGGACTTCTACCTATCTGTGGCTTACTTGGCTCTGTCTGTCGCAGGGGTGGTGCACAGGATATGGATAGAGACACTCAAACTGGTCTGGAGGAAAGAGGATGCATCTCTTATGGCCTTTAATCTGTGCAAAGAAGTTCTGCTGCTCGTCGTAATGTGCTGGTGTCACATTGCCTGTGGCGACAGAACATTAACAGGAAATGTGAAGTGTGACAAACACCAAGGACAACATCATACAGCAGAAACTGTGAATCCCTTTTCACAGTGGATGACTCCTGTGAGAGCCCTCACCCTCCATGCCTATCAGCAGCAGGTTGGATGTCAGTTGTCCCCAGTTTCTCTTGGCTTGCTGCTTGTTGATCCAGTTCCAGTTGAAACCGAGGAAGTCAACAACAATCTTCTTCCCTACTGTGTCGTTCAGGGTCTGCTGCAGATAAACCCTTGAAATGCACGAGAAAAGAGACGTGCAACATGTATGAGCCACCTTGTTTTACCCAAAGCAGCTCTTTTTTATTTATTTGTATATGTCTTCACTTGGTTATAGGTTTACAGTGTACTTCTAGTTCAGGGGACTACAACTCCTTTAGCCCATGAAGAACAATATGATATTGAAGGAAGTGGACAGCAAAATCCATAGAGAGCCCCTGTGAGCGTCAGTGACTTCACTTTATTAAGTGATCTGTGTGTGTGTGTGTGTGTGTGTGTGTGTCAGGTCCCAGTAATATGCTTCTCCCCCGATTCTCCTGTGTTAGTGCTTAGTCCTTTGCTCCACCTTCCTGTGCACAATAACATTTCACGAGAGAAAACTCCCTTCGCTGTCAAACACACCTGCAGACTGATTAAGTTTCCAAGAGAGGACTTTGTTTAGATCATGCATCAGCCCAGACAGGGTTGACATAAACATAACTTACATCATATTCCTGTTCCAACTTAAAATAACCTTAGAAATACGTCTTACCTCTCCTCTCCTCCCATTTCCTCCGTTATATGCATTTTATCCACAAATTCAGAGAATTTCATTTCCATCCGTTGAGACTTGGGGACAAAGTTCTCAAAATTAGCCATTTTTTTCTCATCATAGTAGAGGAATTTGTGCTTTTCTGCCGTGTAAACAGAGAAGTCCCCGTTCCCAATGTTCTCCTGGAGGTATTCAATGTCCCATTTAAGAGCTGGATACACAAGGTTTGTGTCCGTCAACACCACCGGTTCCTGAAAACAGACGAAGAACATTTCAATGCAGTCACATCACAAAAACTGATATTTATTCAATTCAATGGAACGAGCCTGTGCACATGCAAGAACAAGCAAATCTCCATAGATCAATGCGTTATTAGATAATCACTGTAAGACTGCTAAAAGGGTTATGCTACTGGTTGTCCAAACTACATTTAAAGTGACTGTTCCTAATGATCTACTATCATGATTATAGGATGTAAGTAATTTGTTTCTTAATCTACAGTAGCTGCATAAAACTGCAATTAATAGTTTAATTTTATCACATATCAGACTATCGTTAATGTAGTACATAAAACAGGTGAACTCGTTTTTCATTTGTTCTTTAACATTTTATTAAGACTTTTTTTTTAAGTAAAAAAACACGTTAAGCATTACTGTACATCATCTTGTTTGCGTCAGTGTTTTTCAACACATCTCGAAAATACTGGTTTATATTTGGTGTTAACCTTTGCTGCAAAAAAGGGAACATAAATCCAGTTACACGCACGCGCAGCACTTCGATAGAGCGGTTTATGGCTTTGGACACACGGAGCTCCGAGGACTACGTGACTAACTGAACGTAGACCGCTGGGCGCGCTCCCGTTGCCTCTCTCTCTCGCGCTCTCTCTCGCGCTCTCTCTATCTGCACCCCCATGCTCTGCATCAGCTCTCGGTTTCATTTTCGCCAGAGAGCGCGAGTCTGCGGTCCCGAACAGCTAAACAATGTGTTGGTTGTCTTTAATAATAAAAGTGTATCTTAGCATCATTACTCAGACGTGCAGGTTTTCAGGAACATGACTTATGTGACCACAGGGTTCACTGTTTTAACAGGGATGTTTATATATAGTTTATATCTTATAATGAGCCAGCATGGACGAGACATTTATGTTTAGCTTTTGAAATCACTTGGAATGAATATTCCTTTCCTTAACATGTCAAACCAATAATGTACCTGTTGGAAAGTGTGATTCAAAATGTTTTTCACTGCACTTGACCTGATTCAAGCTGCATGGAAACATGGTAAATGAAACAGTGTCAAGGATTAGTGTGCCTTTGTCTGTATGGTGCGGTTCTGATTACCCATGTTATGTGTGTTTAATTAACCTTCTTCTTTCACCTGAGCCACATTGACTTTCCGCGCGGGAGTTGAAAGGTGGTGCGTGGGTTAGTTTGTCTATTCTTGAGAAACTTTACTCAAGAGCTGAGTGGAAATAGAGGAGCTGGTCAATTTTGAGAAGACAGAAGACATTTATCTTCCTGTGTGCACTAAGAATAGATAGAGTCCACTTCTAGATATTCATCAGAACATTTTAGGGTGGAGTGAATTGCCACCCTAAAAGTAGTCATAAAGAAGTCATGCACTTCTATACGTGAGCCATGTGCATGATGACATGCCCCTTCAGGAGATTCCTGTAAAGGCTACGTATTGTCTGTGTTGAACAGGTAAACCTTATGGGAAACGTTCCAGCTGGCATTGACACTGAACAAAAAACAATGCGAGCTGGTGGAAGAAATACGGTCAGCCCTGTACATCTATTGTAGGCCTGCTCGACGGCTTTAAGGAAATGAATAAAGCTTGTTCCCCGCTTTAGACAAATACCACTCAGAAATGTAATTATGTCGTCCATACAAAAGGTTAGTGCTGAATCATGCTTTACATATAAACCTAAACAGCTGTTTCACCAAAGAGGTGAGAATTAAAGGGTTGAAAAAACTGCTGCTGACTGCTCTCTATAGCATGATGTATTTCTGAGTAAGCCACAATGACGTCCGCAGGTGTTTTCAACCAGATGTCCAATGCAAACAACCTGATGTGACATCGCTGATTGAATTACCCTTGGACTTGAATTCCAATGGGTTTTTGTAGTTTTATTATGCTTTCATTCCCCAAACTATAAAAAGCTCACTGATAGCAAGCAAAGATTCACACATTTACAAACCATTTACCATTGGGTGGCTTATTTTAATGTGCAGATGACCAAATGTGAAAAGTGCCTTTCTCTTGTCACTTACTTTGGGGCATCATTTATTGTCACTAATATTTGCTTGAAAGATGATTTCATCATATGTGCCAAATCTCTACAACTACTTTCTAACCCTTTTAGATCACATCGTCCTATTATGCACCTATTTAAAAAAATAAAGCAACAAAAATAATCGAATTTTCTTCGTACTTTTTATATAAAAATCCAACCACCATTATTTCTTGTAAAACTAACTATGACGTGTGCTTGCGTAAACTAGTACCAAGTAATTTCAGCCAATAATATCACGACATCCACCCATCAATCAATCAATCTGCAAGTTCTAGCGACAAGGGAAGTGTGTGGAGCCGCAGTCTGGAGCTCCGTATGGCGCTACATTGCATTACTGCATTACTACATTGCATTACTACATTACATTGCACTACATTACTACATTGCATTACATTGCACTACATTACTACATTACTACATTGCATTACATTGCACTACATTGCATTACTACATTACATTGCACTACATTACTACATTGCATTACATTGCACTACATTACTACATTGCATTACTACATTACATTGCACTACATTACTACATTGCATTACATTGCACTACATTACTACATTGCATTACATTGCACTACATTACTACATTGCATTACATTGCACTACATTACTACATTGCATTACTACATTACATTGCACTACATTACTACATTGCATTACTGATGTAAAACAGGGTTAGTGGTGCAGGTCTACCTTTGTACGTTCTTATAAAGGTGTTTACACGTTCAGCATCTAATGAAGTGGGTTTACCTCGTTGTTGATGAGCATCTCTGCTCTGGGATCCGTATGAGACAGTCTGGGAATGGGCTGTGTTGGGAACGAATATTTCCGCAGCTGAGACTCATCCCAGTCCCAGTTCTGGACGCCAGTGAAACCGGTCCCGCCTTCGCTCGCCGCCGGATCAGCCTCCGCAACGGTCGCCGCCGCCATGGTTCGCCTCCGTCCTCCTCACAAGGAAATAACCCGCTTTTCTTCCGGGACCTTGCCCTGCTGGGCTACAGAGTCAGCAGCGGGACGTTTACGCGAGCTTTCCCATTCACGGTTATGAAATAAATTGAGGAAATATGAGACGTCCTGCAGCGGCAGCGGCAGCTCCTCTCTCCGGATCTGTTCCGTAGTGTTTACACACTCTGGTTTCTGAGACAGAAAACAAAGGACAGCAGCTCAGACAGTAGAGGAAACACCTCGCCCGTGTCAATGCCCCGGATATCGGACAGAGACACCTAGTGTGGCGGGGGACTAAATGCTCATCCTGTAATAAGTTGCTCTTACCACGAGAGAGAGCTGTTGTACTTTGTTTTCTTGCAGGTTTTTGTTTTTTCCAGAAAATTGATCGCCAGAAAGTCAGTTGATTTATCATAAGTGACAGAAATAAAGTCATGATAATCCCTATTTTAATCGGAAATAGTTTTTTTACTCCATTTCCTTAAATTAAAAACGGTACTTTTCTTGAGAATTGAACCTACTTTATATATTTCAGACGGAATATTGTACTTTTTTGTCCCACCGCATTTATCCAACAAAATAGACATTGCAGATACATTTTTATTACAAAACATATAATTAACTTAGTAATAACAACAATAATAATACTTATAATTCTTAGACAAATAATAACAATCAATAATTAATATTATACATTATATAATATAAACATTATATACAAAGTCTTAAAGTGGGCACTCTACATAATACATTACATTACACTCTCAGTGAGCATGATCTACGTTTCATGCAGGGGTTGAAATTGTAAATTCACTCAGTTATAGTACTTTCGGCTACTTGCAGTATTACTTCCATGCTACTTTTTACTTCTACTCCTCTACATTAATTTCACAGCTATAGTGACGAATCCTTTACAAAGCATCTTTCTGTCTCTCGCTCTTTCTATGAGAAGATATGGAAATGAAAGACTGAGCAAACACTTTTGAAATCCTGATCCAATATTTAACTTTTGTCATCATTGCCTCAGCATTGCTGTATTGATCCCTCTTCATGAGATAACACAGTGCACACAGTGCATTGCTCACTGGACCAATCGGCTGATGGAGCCTCACTCTGTCATACTGGTATTGAACTAGATGGAGAAAAATCTTATCAATCACTTTGATCATTGCTACTCTGTGGCTTTAACCTTGTCTGACAGCTTTTTAGAGCCACAAAAATACAGAATTTGAGCTCAAATGCATCTCCTGAAGTGTCTGTAAAGCCTGATACATCTTGTATGTTTTCTCTTGATTCAGGCTTTATCAGCAGGTTTCCACGGCAGGGACTAGTTTGAGGCTCCCTGGTGGGTTCCCATGCTCTGTGTTTCCTGTGCAGATCAGTGAGCTGAGCTGAGTTGATCCCCCGATGCTCCCCTCTCCCCATTCTTTGCAGATAGAACCAGGGGATTGACCACCCTGGTGAGCCTCAAGAAGCTTGTATCTCAATCCTGCTGATAGCAACAAACATGCACCACGGCCGCCTTCTCCCCAGCAGATGGACTGCTGTCAAAACAAAGACCCTCTTGAGGAGATACTGTTACAATGAAACAGTTTCCTGATGAGTGGAAGCGTCTGATGTTTCGTGAGCTTATGGCTAATGTAATCTTAGCCAACAAACCACCACAAATATACACACAGGTAAAGTTATTTCGCTGATTTTGTTTTCTTTTAAGAGCTTTTTCGGTGGAGGCCCCACTCATCTGTACTCATTTGGCTTTCTCTCACATTCATATTGACCCTCGCCCCTCTAGGTGTTGTAGGTCCAGAACCCTTAAGCCATAAATCCTATTAGCCAAGGATTCTCTGAAGCATTATAAGTCGTTTTCCCATCTTCCAGTGATTGCATTATCACTTACCTGAGAGAAATCTGCCCCTAAATTATTTATATATATGTGGTTTGTTTAAACAAAAACACATTCCACCTCTACCTCTCTCTTCTGCCAGTACTAAAAAAAACATGTACACATTTCTATCAATAATTGTTGTTGTTCCTACAGAAGTTTAAATTGATCATTGAAGCTCTGTGAGAAAGCATCTGCTTAAAACCCCACTCTTCCTCTGTGGTGTCCCCTCTCCCTCCGTCACCTTACGGCAAATTGGACATGGCAGGGCCGGCCCAAGAGACGGAAGTTCAGACCCCCGCGGTCGGAGGTCGTGTCACTCTCTGGGAAATTATGTGTCATGATCAACATTGTTGTGCTGTTTCACACGCCATTATAATGTGTGTGTGTGTGTGTGTGTGTGTGTGTCTCATTCAGTTCATCCCCCTTCCGTTTTCACATTTGTGTGGTTGTTCATTCGAGGGAATACAATTGACACATAAGAATCAATTCATTCTGCACGCAGAGTTTAAAGTGGCTTTGTTCAATTGAATCCAAAATGCATGTCCTATTTCTAACTTCGCGTTACCTTTAAAATCCTGTGAATGAACATTTTGATGTGCCCCTGTTGTACTTACTCCCTGTCACAGCGCATTGCAGAACTTCCACAGAGCCGCAGGGCAAAAAGCTTGGTATGCTGGTTCTTTTGTTGGTGAGAGGGTTTTGCTGCATGCCAGGCAGAGCAATCCACCCAGCCACAGGGGTCATCAGAGGAGGGAGGAGTTTTGATTATGATCATTATTTGGTAAATAAGATGTCAACAAGGTGTTTCCTTGACACTTTATTGAGTAAAAGGAGGAAGGTGCAGAAATGAACTCCCCCTTCTCAATGGGAACTCTAATCTCCTCTTTCATGTCCCATCTCGTCTGAAGGGTTTCGGCTTCGGCTGCCATGTGCTAGTTTGCCTGGGCCTGGCACTTCTTACTTGCAGGTGGGGTGAGTATCCTGGCAAGCATGTGTTTATAAAACCCACTTGTTTGGGCACAATACTTGAACTAACTTCTTTTGAGAGAACAGTGTGAATCAGTGCAAAGCCTTTTCCCAAAGTTCTTTAGAAGGCGACAGCCCATTGAGAGTAGAGAAGGAGGGATTACCTTCCTCGACAGTGGTGCATTTCCGAGAGAGCTGATTAGCTCTGCATTCATTGTTAAATCGAGCAAAGGAAGGCCCTAGAGGAGTGAAAGGATCCAAATAGGTGGGCCCAGAAATAAAACAGCCGCAGGAAGCCCTGCACAGGCAACCCAAAGTTTTCCCAACATTTCTTTCCCCCTCTCCTAAGGAGGTGCGGCGTGAAAAAGGAGATTAGCATACAAAATTAGAGGCGGGATGATTTTTTTAAGGGCAACTTGCCTCATGCCCTCCACCCCCAAGGCCCTACTCTGTCTGGACAAAGTTAATTAAACTAGTATTAAACAGTAAAGAAACTTCCAAGCGCTTGGGAGTTAGGGGGCTCTTTGAGGATTACCATGATGAGGGAAAGAACGGGGAGGTATTTGTTGAGGCGCAATTGAGAAAGGCGTGATGGAACGAAGAGTATACGCTGGAAAGTTTTCTATTCTTGCTGGTTTGCCCCAGAGTATGCTGACCCCGATGTGAACAATGTGAAAGGAAGGTTGTGTTTACTGCAAACCATCAGGTATCACTGCCACAAGTAAAGACGGATGAGCGGAATGAAGATTGAAGGATTTATTATTTTGTCATCACAATTTAATAGAAAACAAACCACAGAGGCAACTAACATCAAGAAAGAACTGGGAAATGTCGTGCAATAAATTAACAATGTACAGTACAAAGTGCTTCAATTTATATACAATTAAATACATACAGGAGGGCAGCAAACGTCAGGGCGAGCAAGATGGTGGGAGAGGAGACTTTCCCCCCAAAAAATGTAAAAAATATTTCTAAATGAATTCAAAGCTTGGCAGTGATAGTTGAAAAAGATGACTGGTAGGTCTTTTCATGGGAATACAACCTGAAGGGTCGTCAAAAGTTGTGATTCTAGAAGCTAATTTTGCCAGTTCTCAACAGTCAGATCATCCATCACTCAAAAGTGAATAACTAATTCCTAACAATTTCCCAAGGTTTATGTGTATGTATGACAATAAATAAATCATCTTGTGGAGAATTTTGAAGTCAGAGAATTACTCCTCAAATGCCCAGTGGAAAAAAAACTTATAAAAAAATATATCTTAAATACATTTATACCAAAAACTCTACAAAGTTGTAAACTTCTCTATCATGTGGCTTTGGGCACATCTCACTGTCTTTAACTCTTAATACAAATTTCACAATGAAGATGGTCTGAACTTGTAGTTTTGCTAAGCTTTTGTCCAAAACACACACACTTTCTGAACATGCACAGAGAGTTAGAGTGTTGACAGGAGCTGCAGTGGTATACGAATATGATGACAGCATGATGAAGATGCTCAGTGCTTCTTCCTCAGTCTGAGGTTCTTCCTTCGGCTACCGGCACTCTCATTCCTTCCCCTCTGACCTCCTTTCTTTACACAAAAGTACTTGGTCACTGTCTTTCTGCACTGCTCACACTTAACCGTGCAGCACCAGTGGAATTTACAATTACAGCTCGACACTATCTCAGCTTTGCGTTCCTCCACGGCCAGCCCGCACTCCCCGCATAGCCTCTTGCAGCTTCGTTTCTCCCATTTGCTCAAGTTCTTGCCCTTCTTGAGGCACTCTCTGCCCTCTGTGCCCGGCAAACCCAGTGTGCGGTTTTCCAGGCAGTAGTCGGGGGAGTCTTCGAGGTGGACCAGCTCCTTACGAGAGATGGAGCTAAAGTTCTCAGCGACGGCACCCCGGCTGGCCGCGCTGTTCCCCGCTCCTCGGAGGAGATCCACCTTCAGAGCCCTGTGGTACTTCTCCTTCAAGTAGTTCCCCACTTCCCTGAATTCTGGCAGCTGCAGCCAGCAGGTCTGAGTGGTGCAGCTTCCTGACACCCCGTGGCACTTGCATGTCTTCTGCATGGTCCCCTTCACGGCCTGGAGAAGCCAGAAAAACATTGTTAAAATGTATTTATAGTTTACTGTGTTAAAGAGTATCAGCTTCATATGAAAAACAGTGTCAAAACATGTGTGTGTGTGTGTGTGTGTGTGTGTGTGTGTGTGTGCGTGTCTGTGTGTGTAAAAGACAGGATGTCCATTGTTTTTTGATTGATGTGTTGTCAAATTAACTGATTGAATTGATTGAATTGAAGTTTTCCATTTAAGTAAAAAGAGGGATGAATACATTGAAAGGAAGAAATGATAGCTTCAAGGTCCATGGCTGAGTTCCTTAGTCGTCCTCAGTGTTTCCTGACTTTACCCGACACAAAACAGCTGTCGGTTGAAAGGGGACGTTTTCTTTTCGTGAGGAGGGGATGAACTTTCTGTTGAGGTAAGGCTGAATCAAAGTTTCACATCGAGTACTATTGTCCCCCCCAGAAGAAATAGGAGTATTTATTTAGCATGTTCATTATCAACATGTTTTCCAGTGTGAGAAGACCCAATGGAGAGTCCCATTGAGCGGAGAAATGAAAAAAAAGGAGTTTTTTCTCTCTTTCTATCCCCATTTTTTTCTGTTACAATGATGCTCCAGGTGCCATGGGGATCCTAGGGCCCAACAGGGGGGAGCAAAGGCACCGTAAACAAAGAGCACTTCAGCTGCACGCCTGTGGTCCCCTCAGACTCCCTCGGGGCCAAACAAAGACCAACATAAATGTGGGATCCTTATTGCAAGAATAAAACTAAACACTTATTTTAAAAAGCAGCATAATACAGAATGCTGTGCAATGTCTGGCTCCCCAGGATCTCTAATTAAGCTTGCACCAGTGATTCTGAGATTCTCGAGTTGAGGTATTGTCATAAGGGGCATTCAGCACTAGTAAATAGGCCCTTCTGGTACACCGAACACACTGTTATTATTGGGGACGAGTGGCACCTCACTTATAGCGACGTGAAAGGGATGCTTGGGTGGCACACTCAGTGTAATTCTGAGCAGGGGAAAATTATTCAAAAGGTGCTTTACACTGTGCAATCAGTTGGAGGGCCAGGAGACATTCCCAAAATATCAAGCGAGCCGCCACCCAGTTTAAAATACTGTAAGGTTCAAATCAAGGCATTAACATCACATACTTGTGCTACTTATATCAAGGGCTCAGAGTGAATTATGGAGCAGCCACAGTACCTTGCGCCCAGCCTCGTTGTTGTGGAGATTCATGGCTGCTCGTGAATCCTGTCCAGTCTCCAACGCATCAACAAACTGTTTGGAGATGGCCTCGCCAAAGCCAACGTTGTCACTGCAGCCTCCCCAGAGCCAACCATGACCGCCTGGGAGAACGAAGAACAATTAGGTTCAAATCATCTGTGCCATTTGATTCAAAAGTGGGTATTTCTCTGCACGTTTTCGTATTTCTCTGACCTCGTTGGCCGTTCCTGCTGTCATCACAGCCACAGTTGTCGAAGTCTCCGAGACTGCAGTTTCTGGTTAAAGTGTACATGACTCCAGCGGAGCTGATGGCATGAACGAACGCAGTCTCCCGATTTGCTGTCAACAGAAAGACTCATTACTTATCGAATTCCTGACAGATCTATTTATCCTATCCGAAGTAAGTTTATTTACCTGCATTTTATGTTGCATATTTATTTTATTTACTTTATAAAACAGCTTCAAAAAACTTTGACTTAATTAGTCAATTTCCCATCTTCTGCTCAGGCCCAAAAAACCAGACCTAATGGTATCTGCATTTCTAAACTTTCCCTGCATGAAGTTAATGTTGTATTGCCAAACACATTTCACTCTTTGTCTTGTGAATCTTAGTGTATTGCTTTCATAAGCTGCAAATAGAGGCAGTGATTTGGGAGGATGTTGGGAAATGGATTAGTGTGTTTGTTTTGCCTCCAGCGATCGTGCCACCACTGTAACTATCCCAAAGTGTGATGAATGCTTCCACTAAGGACACATCTCTATTTCACAAAGGGGGGAAACAAACCTCCCCTCTAACACAGAAACTTGAAAGACAAGCACGCAGCTGCAAAACGCATTCGAAACATCTTTGAAATTCCGTTAGCTAACGTTTCCCCGTTTAGAGGTGGACTCCCCCTCAGCCGAGCTGCAGTGTAGCGGCGTTGGAGCTGGTGTCTGGGGGCTGTGGACTTACCGCTGCGCAGGCTGCTGTGCGTGGACAGCTGCAGAGCTCTCTCGGGGCAGTTCCAGCGGTCCCATGCAAACTGGTATTTGCACTCCTCTATGCCACTCTGAGCTCCTGCTGCCACACTGCTGGAGTAGATCAGGTATGCCTGCAGCAGCAGAGACGTTGGATATATTAAACCCACAAGGTAATGCACGAGCACCCCTCATCCTTCAACAGTGACAACATGATAACTAAGAAGTTGAGATGTTTCTGAAGCATCTGGCATGATTTGATACCCAGATATATTCATTAGATGATATATTAGCATCGTCTTCGGGGGAATAATTACCTGATCCAACCAAATTAGTAGAAAGTAAATCATTTTGAATAAATTGCAGAAGCCAGAGCCCAGAAGATAGAGATCAGACATAGGCCACTTGAAGACAGTCAGTGGCCACGGATCCAAGAAATCATGAGACCCCTTCTGGTACTTCTGAACACACTCAGGGTTCATAAAATCAAATGTCATGTGTGGAAAAACTAGGAATGGTGATGTGAACCAGTCTCAATCGCTTTAACATTTGTATCTCCCTACTGGAGGGTCAAATGGTTTACTCTTCAATGTGCCTTGCCGCTTTCCAAGAATTGAATTTCTGAAGGATTTCAAAGTGTATAACACATCAACAGGTCCTTCATGTAGATTGAGCTCATTGTCTCATGACAAAAACAATGGGAACTGATTAAAACATGATTCTTCTTTTTAAACTCTATCAGCCGCAGTGAATATGCAGAACTGTTGAGCTCTCTTAAACCAGTATGCTCTGTCCTTGGCTTTCGCCCGCCTCTCTGTGGCTTGTTCACACTGTGTGAGCGATAATATAACTAATATGTCTCAAGTGGCTTTTGGGGAGATGGAGTACCACCTCTTTCACAGGGGTCTGGTTCGCTAATGATGACCACCCACTACAGCAATGCCTGCCCTCGCCTCTTAAAAAATTCAACCCACAGATACGCAGAGCCTCTGAATAAGGTCAAGTGTACGGAGGAGGGGGGAAAAACACAAAGGACCAAGAATATCACCGATATATCATTGGTGCCATTGTTGCATACATACAGGTACAAGAACTTGTCCATACACTTGAGTTTGGACATCACAAGGACAACACAGAAACCATGTTTTCTCTCCGTCTCTCTTTTGGGGAAAGGACAGGGAGAAAAGATCAAAAGAAAGTTGGCTTACCTTGGGTCCAGTCATCAAGAAATTATTCACTGACCTGGAAAAGGAGACAGCTTATTCACTCAGGGAAGCTCAGTGTCCTTCACAAATTCCTCTGCTAACATCTCTCATTAGTGCGCTTTGTAACATGTTAAACCGTGACACCAGTGGCCATCCGAACCTAGTGACTAACTGCACTGCTAAGTTTCTTTTAGAAATATATATTTATATAGAAAATAAAAAATGAATGGCAATAATTGTTTTATTAACAATTGATTATTTACAATTTTGGGGTTGCCATGTTCTGAAAACCTCCCTGACTGGTGTTCATCCTTTATAATTGAAAAGTAATTCTGTTCCAAATGTTAGTAGTCCAATTTTAAATGCTCATGGGTTTCTCACTTTCTAAAAAGCCACAAACTCTGTCGATATAAAAAAAAATTTAAGGTCATTAATAAATTACTTTAACTCATCATGTCCAGAGTTTAAAGTGTTGATAAGTTAATAAATGGATTTTGGTCTTCAGCCCTTTTCTAGAAATAAGCATTCAGATGGTAGATTGGAGCTTCACAGCCTGGCAACCAAAACGTTGTTCTAACTGACTTACAACTGAAATAAAGAATTAGTAAATTACTTATTCACCACTAACAAAGCCATTAGTTACAACTTATAAATCCTTTATAAAAGATGCCTTATTGAAAAGTGGTGTTGGTGGAATGCATAAAAACAGACCCAGCAAGTCCATAATTTACGTTTCCTTATTTCCAATTGCAAAATTGTTGAATTAAGTGATATTATTGGTCAGATTGTGCCTTTTTAATAAAACTATATGAGAGGAAAAAAAAATACATATAAATGAGGGCTTACAAACAACACAGAAAAAATATAAATAGTTGTTTTGCATATATTTCAACCCTTGCCACTGCTGTGAAATGAACAGTTTGAGAGATGAACATCATCAGGACACCAAATTAATCTGCATAATTAAGAACATATTTATAATATTTCATGATCATTTAAACTCACCAGCAGCAGTATGGCCTCATGTGAGCCAGGAGAACGAAAATGTAATAGAAAACCTCCAAATGCATGAACATCCTGACAGGTGAGGGGGATGACGGTGACTCTGAGCCCGTCCAAAGCCTGCAGACAGTCTAACGATGGAGAGGAAACTGAGCTACCAGCACATGCAACTTCACCAGGGCTTCCAAGATTCAAGGAGGGGGCTCTGAAATGGAGCTGCTCTTGTCCCAACAAGAGATTATCTGCTTAATTAAAGATTTTCCCCCTTCTTACTCTCTTGGCCAATCAGAAGTATTGCACCAAGGAGAGACTGAAATGATCAAAAGGGCACCCTGGGCCTTCAGGGCCGGGCAACGGTAGGTTCCCTGCCTCTATTCAAGAGCAAAGGAAGATCTCTTTAATCCTATAGGAAAAGTGTAACACTGATCCCTTGAATTTTTGGCCGGAGAAAAACAGTTTATTTAGGCAATCTAACGTGCAGTGGATTGTCGGGGATTAGTGGAAGATAGTCCTCTGGATGACGAATTGTTAGTTTGATAGTTTACAAATACTGTTCGTTCTCGAGGAAGTAATTCGTGATTTAACAAAGGTGTGATTGAATCAATGTTTATCACCTTGAAACAGACTATTACTCACATGGAGCCCGATACTACAGCCTCAAATGTGTCACCTGACCATTTCATTTAAAATGGGGTCAAACCGGCTCATTATATTTACAAAATCGGCGACATATAAAAAGTTATTTCCACAAAAGGACTGCAGGTGGCTGTTTCTTAGAATAATCACCGGGGGTATCATTTCTCTTTCCCCCGATCTGCGCAGTTACAGAGGCCGAATTTAATTGGATGAGATGATAGGTCTATTTTAGTTATTATTTCGGACATGTGCAAAGAAAAAAATGCGTAATTTCCTATTTCATACAATGTGTGATTTTGTGAAGAGAGTGTTTTGTGATAGACGATTCACTTGAATGAGACTTAACATTTGCATCGCATGTTTGTCATTTTCACGTTTTCCTGCAATATTTCAATCATGATTTTATGAGAATTTAACAAAGAGATTATGTCCGATGATGACCCCTCCAACAGAAAATAAAAGGTGCATTGGGGCAGGCTGAAGGCCTAGCCATTGATCAGATATGGGGCATTTGCATCACTAATCCAGACGGTCCCTACCTAACACTGCATGGAGGGTTATTCCCCAATAACCCCGTCTGACCCTTAGGACCCTTTCCTTTGGCACAGGCAGCCCTTTAGCAAACTTCTTGTGTGCAAATTAGGATTATAGAAAAGTGATTTGGAGGGGGGGGGGGACTTCTGAGGGATGTTTTTGGATTAAGATTTACAAAGGAATGACAAGTAAAGTTAGACAACAGCAGGATCCATCCTGTTGTTTTAGCATTTTTTTATACAAGACAAATGACCCCTTGAAGCGTCACCAAAAGTGCGCAGTCATGCCTATATGTTATTATAACAAGTCGTTTCCCAAGAGCGAGGTGTCAGTAAACGTCCGCAATTGTCGTTCAACGTGAAAAATAGCGGCCCTTCTGTCTTTTGTACACATGTTGTCGCTTGAGCCCGCTGAAATGTGCGTCTTTGGCGCAGATGTGAATAAAACATGTAGGCCTACATATCAGTAAGACTATCTGAATCATCTCAAGTCTGAGACATCAGAAAGGCTGCCAGCAGCAGCAGCATTACACCGGACAACAAGTCCTCAATGTTGCACAAGTCTGCAAGAATTGAAACAGCGTGACTGTCCGCAGTGACGAGTCTGAGCTCAGACTGGCAATGTGATCGACACCGAGGTGATACATGCCACGAAGAGGATGGCCTGACAGGCAGCAGCCAATGGACAACAGGCTGATGTCACTGTTGGGGCATCACAGATCATCGGCGGTGGGACCACTAACATGAACATTTGGACGGGACTCGGAGCGGCGGCTGCCCTCTGGAGCAGACTGCAGCATGTTGTGCCAAAACAACCAATTGCAACAAGCAAATCGCATTTACTGCTTTTACACAGAGCAGGCGTGTCGCTCGTTTCTTTGGCTTGCCATGAAGCCATTCACCAGCAGAGGGAGCAAGTTCACAGCTCCTTCAAATGGTTGAAAGATGTGTTGATAACATACACTAAATCCTCTTTATTTAAAGAACCACAGGGAGGAAATGATCTTTTTGCTCACCCACTGCTGAGCAAATCAGGCTGTTTCAAGTTTTAAGTCTGCAAGACTGGACACATGACGCTGGAAAACACTAAGCACCGTCTGTACCAATAGAAGTCTGTCCTCCAGGAACCCTTTAGGAATGTTCGAACAATATCTGCAGCTATTTTAAATATGTATGTTGGTGTTACAAGTGCAACAGCGTTACATGTGGGTGAGACGGGCGAGTAACGCATGAAAAGCAGAGGTAGATCCCCATCAGAATAGGCACGTAGACAGGAGACATGGCTGTCAATTAACAAGCGCAACATGTCCAAAAACAGGAGCGGCGAGATGAAGATAAAACCATTTAAGAGATGTTTTAACTCCTGTTGTGTACTCACGCGATCAGTATAGAAAAGCACATTGTGTAGATGGACACAACGGTCTGTATCTCTATCCCAAGTATTCCAATCATGTCCAATACTACGTCAGTATACTGCACTAAGGGAATGTGTTTAGAATATCCAATGAAAACATCTTTTTACATGATTCAGTTGCACTTAAGCTTTTGGGACATTTAACATATAATAATATTGTATGTCAGTGTTTGTCAACATAAGTTTCAATTATGACAACCTTCATTTTATAACTTAGTACCACGTTTCTATTATTTTTGACTGACTTATGTTTTATTCTTTTTGTCACACACAGCAAAGCCCTTTGTTGCTTTTAAAGAGGTTTTTTTTAGTATAGTTAATATACTCACTAAAATAGTTCATTATCAGTAGCTGTTATTGTGGTATCCACAAGCCACTGATAAAGAATGTAACAGAAATGTTATGAGCATATATTTATTCAGTTTATGAATAAGGAATATTGCAGACCTTCAACAAAAACAGCAAAACATATTTTGTCACAAGTAGAAAATTTGGTTTATTTACGGTACATACATTGGGCAAAAATATTCTTTGAAAAAAAAAAAAAAAGTGCCATTTTTAAGGCATTCAAACTTCAAGAAGTTAACAAAAAAAAAAAAAAAGTGTTGCTCTGTAAGAGGAAGTGTGACAAATATCACAACATTATCATTAATGATATAACAAGTTTGGATCTTGTTTTAAAGCAAAATATTTGTATGGTTACACAAATGTTAAATCACAGTAACCCTTTCTTAAATATTTGTTGAATGGTCCCTCTTTGTCATTATAAATAAGGGATTTTAATTTTTGAAGTGTTCCTTAAAAACAGACACAAAACAACTGTCAGTGAAAATGAAGCCTGAATTTATTTCCATAACTTCCACTTTTAATTTTTCCATCAGGTGTGCAACGCGCATAAGGCAATTGGGCAAGAGTCCTGACACATGTTTCAATAATATATAGTCACACAGCACAAAAGGTAAATCCTTCATTAGCCTCGTCTGAGGGAGACCTCTTCTCCGAATGTATTTCAATTGAATACAAAATAAATGTAAATATATATCTCTTTTCAAGTTAAGACTGAGAAGTCTGGTTCTATGGTTCTATGTTTCAGTCTGAGGTGGCTTCACTACTCAACCAGAGGAATACAAATTTACACCAGTTTCATCCTCATTAAGAACCCCTCTTGTACAGTTAAGGACAGTGGGTGTGAAAATATCCCAAAGTATAACACACCTGTACTCTATTCACCCACTCGGGTAAGATAAATAAGGGCAGTTCAATTGAGTATTAACTGTCTTGGTGTTGGCCTTTAACACAGCAGCTTATGATTCAGTGAGACGACTATCTCACCAAAAATAAAGACAACCGTAGCTTATAACAGACAAAAATAAAGATGAAACTCCACTCCTTGTGGAATGAGACAAAGCACTACTGACTGAAGTTAGAGCGAAAGGCCCTCAGTATCGCCTGTAGAGAAACCTCACTGTTAAGAGCTTCAATAAAGCTTTCAAAGTGCCAAAGACTATTAATAAATAGCACATTAACAAATAAGATATACAGTAAATTATTCTGTAATCACTGCTCTTACACAATGCTCACACAGACTTATTCTTGTTGTCCTACTGCTGCCAATAGAGACTTTAATCCCAATTTTTTTTAATATATATATATATATATATATATATATATATATATATATATATATATATATATTTTTTTTTTTAATATTTATATATATTTTATGGTGAAAAGCTGTGCTTGCACATGTAGCCAGGTCACTGGCTGTGACGAATAGTTGGTGAGGACACTTCAAAACTTAAAAAGAGACCCACACATTTAAGGAAAGTCTACAACTCTCAAAAGCCAATATTAGTCTCAGGAGGTTTATCTTATATTCAGAAGCATGGTAATCACCCCTAACCACCACTGAAATTCTGCTATACCCGCTGCTACGTTCTGTCTTGGTTCGACACAGGTATCAGTTTCAGAGCTTGCGGCTAGCGTGACTCAGCAGCTTTTGTTGCTGCCGTCACCCGTTCGCTGTCTGCGCGCAGTGATGACTTCCTTCGACACCCTCTTTGGGTCCTTGGCCAAACCCAGGAAGCACATGGTGTCTATGAAGGCAGTGGTGAGATTCAGCTTGCAGCCGAACTCACTCGTGGCGTAGTCGAAGGGGAATGTGTGGTGGTAGTTGTGGAAGCCTTCCCCTGGAAACCAAAATGAAAGACGTCAGTGTTTATGCTGAATGTCAACAAGTTAATTGCATAAATGAAGACGTGCATGAAACAGTTACATGGTGAATTTAAACACATCACAGGACGGCAGCACAGCGACAAAGAGCTATTGATAATGTTATTTGATGCCAAGTGAATTAGGGACCTTTTTTGGAGATTTGAAAATCTTAACAAAAGCTGACTGATATGTAATGCAATTTACAAGCTACCAAAAACCAGGCTATCAGATTTGCTTAATTAGTCTTTTGTTATCATTGCAACCACAGTTTAGTTGCCATTGTAACAGCATGGGTGTGCCCGCAGCCTTCGGAGATACGACGCCAAAGAATCTCACGGGGCACCGCAGCAGAAAACATCTCATCAACGAGCTTAAAAAGGATGAGTTTCAATGCAATACAAAAACTAAAAAGCAATCTATATTTCAATCTTGACAGATAAAATGTGGCGGACGATTATCAATCTGGAAAGACTGCGTGGACATACTGTACAATTGAAAGCACAGAAGCGTCTGCCAGAATTGCACATTCTTGTGCAATCACTCGTTAGCTTGTGAGTTTGATGTTGTTCTGCAGCCAACAATGCTCGATGCTGTTTGCAGCATCACACCCCCATGGTGTCAGCCACCACAAATGAAGTCTCGACTTGTGGCACACAATGATACTGAAATAAGCCAGTGTCCAACTCTAAAACAAACATGTAGATACACAGCTCAACAGCTGACCACCTTTGAAGTTCAAAGTTTAAACTGCCGGAGAGGCAAAATAAACATTGAACACCTGATTGGCAAACTGTCCCACTAAAGATGCCAGACTGAACCTGCTTTGAGGGAGCACACACTGGGGTTGACTTGACAAGCTTTCAACAAGGGATATGACGATCATTCACATATCCCTCAGGTGCATAAAAGGGCACCAAGTTTGACATAATACTTATGTAGTCACAATACAGTGACACATTACTGTAGGACAACTAATACATATTAATAAAAAAAGGCTGTTTCCTTGCCTATAGCACTGAATGCAACCAGTCGGTTTTCCCTCGGGTTGATGGTCTTGTCGTAAGGCCTGTTGCCCCAGATGTGTGCAGCGCTGTTGACCAGCCAGGTGGCATTGAGCATCACGGCGTATCTTAAGAGTCCAGGGATGAAGTATGCCACAGCCAAGGATTCCCCCCAGAAGTACCAGGGCACAAACATTGGCACGAAGAAGCAAAGGAGCACCACGGAGAGCTTGTAGTGGCTGAAAGAAAAAAGCAAAAAACTGAATCTCACAGATCCATTCCCACTCGATCTGAGACTAAATGAAATAAAACTGATTTAGAATGATGTAAATTGAATCATTTTTTTTGGTCTCATAGCTGATTGTGGAAATGTATACATTATATAATTCCACAATACACTTCAGTTAGAATGAATATTGCATCTCATGTGTGTATTTTACACAATTTGATTGTTAGAACAACATATGCATCTGTACCCATGCCAGGCTAAAGGGTCCCATAAAAAAAAAAAAAAGACACAAATTGAATCCTACATCGTTATGAGGGAAATTATGAACGAGTCATAATTATATAATACATAAAATAATTAACCCCCCTTTAACCCCCTGAAAATCTGGGACTGTGTCCAGAAAAGTAGATCTGTTGACACCACAGGGCCATGCTGTGATTTGATCCCTGGTCCAAAATGCATCCACTATCAGTAGATGATGGATATCAGGCGTTATCACGGTCAGTATAACCCAGACTACAACATCCTGTACAGTTTGGGACGAAGGGGAAATTACTTTGAATAACGAGACATTCATATATCATACTTTGGGTAGCAAAGGTGTGAAGGCCGAGGTGATGGATAGTGTTGCGTCCCCACACACACGAAAAATGGTTAACAAAAAAAAAAAAAAAAAAAAAAAAAAAAAAAAAAAAAAAAAAAAAAACACACACACACCTCTGGGTAATGTTTGCTCACCGTCTCTGAAACATAACCACTTTATCTGCCTTCAGGTCGGACAGCTCCAGTTTTTTGCCCTTTTCAATGACGTCGGGATGTTTGCGAACCATCAGCCAACCAATGTGTGCGAAGAAGAACCCCCGTGTGGCATTGTGGGGGTCTGCGTCTGTCTCCGAGTACTTGTGGTGGACACGGTGGTCCCTCGCCCACTCGTATACATCATTCTGCACACACACACACACACACACACACACACACACACACACACACACACGAGGCATCAGACTTTCAGATAATCAGAGATAACAAAACAATAAATGCCTAGCACTATACGATACTGAAATCACCCTACCATTGCCAGATTTTATTTTTGCTGATGTGATTAAAATTAGGAGATTCAAGATCTCCTTCCGGTGTGTTTTATGACATGTAGAAATGCTCCGCTTTCAATAATACTTAGTGATTATATGTTGTTTTCTTTCCCAAATAGTCCAATTGAAAATTGTCAAAATGATATCTACTCCTTTTCCCTCATTAGAGAGCATCAAGTTTTCACAATCAACATCACACTTGTTGCACATTGTATCAAGAATGGCTTGTTGTGGCATCATGTCAAACATTACAGTCAAGGGGCAATAAGCAAAAACACCTTTTTTGAGTTAGGGGCAAGTTAAAGATGAAGCAGCAGCTGCCAAGGAATACACTTGGCGATAATGTGCTGCTGCAACAGCTAAATCCCCCTCCCCTAGGGGGATCAAAAAAAAGATGTGTCTTATATTTACTTTAGTTCCCGTTTTACCTGAAAGGCCATGGAGTTGGCGAGAGCGAGGAAGACTCGCAGAGGAAAAGAGGCCTTGTAGGATCTGTGGCTCCATAATCTGTGTGCACCGGCAGTCACACCGAGAGCACTGATGAAGTAGCACACTGCAGCTGGAGGAAAGAAAAGACATCTTAGGGGAAACTGTCACCACTACACTGAGATTAAGTTCACACCCGTGAGAGCAGAAGTCACTGGGACACCATGTTCTTTCCATTACACCCGGGCCTCTTTGTTCAGAGGAAAGTCCTCTATGTGGGGAGATGGGAGCGCACAGGTCGGCCCTCACAGATTTGTTGTTCTAAAACTGCTGAATGTGTTTCTATGTGAAGCCCAGACAAGACTACCCAGGATTTGAGACCCGGGGGCTTCTGACTGCCAAAGAGCATTCTGTTGTGGTGCCACACAGCTCACAATGGGATGTCTATGGGAATGGTGATTGTGCATTGTCTTCCGCAGTGAAATAATATGCAGCTCAGCATTGCAAAGATAGGGGGGAAATTATGCAGCGAGAGTGGAAACAAAGTTAAGACTGTTCAGGAATTCAAGTCATGCCTCAGTAGTCTACACATATGGGGTGCACACACTGTAAATATTCAGCTAACAGTTTGTCTATCATCAGTGAAATTCAAATACTTTTGATTTGGGACACGCAAAACATTCCAACGAGCCCAACTATTTTACAATCAGCCACAGGTTTGAGCTCTCAAAGAAGGTTTAACATGCATCTGGATGTGTAAAATAAAAATCACAAGGCCAGAGTGACTCATTCTACATGCGACATAGACATGACC